AGTTATGCAATACGAATTATGATTCTCGGGCACTATATAATAGTTTCTTGCTCCGGACATGCAAAACCCGACGGATTGAAGGACGGCTGGATAGACAGACACGCTTATTTAAGCATTACCATTTACAAGTTTGTTGTTTTAAGGAGTTTTGATTCGTTTGCACTGCTCCACCTCAAATCCTATAAATTAAGTAAAAGTGATTTAAAGTGACGCTCATAATGCAGTATGAAAATTTATTTTGGGCAATTATATCAAACATTGGTAAAAGAAAGTTACGGCATTACTGCTTCTTCTTCACTAGGGTCTAGTCATCTATGAAGTTGATAGCTCCAGCAACGTTATGCCTCAGTGTGACAAAAGAAAACAGATGCCTTGACGGACGGACGGACACGTTTGGATATTTTGGTATACCACAATTACAACTTTGTTGTAAGTGAAAGAGGATATGGGTATAAACAGTTAATCTTTAAATAACTGTTACACTAGTTTTGCACAAAAAGTACAATAAAATACAAAACAACCCATAGTTTAAATTTATATTTTATTGAAGATATACTGTATCAAAATAAGAAATTAATATCTAACTTTTAGTTAAGTGTAATGGCAACTGTCAGTTTTAAATTTATCAACATAACCTCTATTCACACTGCTGTTCACATGAATAACCAACAATCTCCACATAGCAAAACATTTTGTTTACTACAAATGCAATCTAACATACTGGGCATAAATCTAACCATCGTAACTGGAAATTCAAAGCAGAGGATGTATAGTAGTCACGTGTCATACGGTTGTCATTGCACAGGGCTGTAGACAAATTATTAGCATTTGAATTTATTTTCGAGCTAATTCACAGAACTGTTTTGACATTGTACATTTTGTTCGTTAAAGGTAATCAAAACTTGAGTGCAACAATGTCGAACCAAATTCGTAAACTGTTAACTATTTTGATAACAATTTGTCTACAGCCTTTTGTAGAAAATAATTAAAATATTTATATTAACACAAATTTAAATACACTTTTCATAGTTATATTTGATCAAAATCATTGAATAGTTTGTACCAGTTTGTACCAGTGATATAATTTGATTAATATGGTCGCACATTTCGTATCTTTGATGTTATTATAATGATGATACTTCCGATTATATCTTAATATCATATCTTAATTTTTTGGTTTGTTCAATGATATTATATAATTATTGTCCATTATGGTTCATATTTTTGATCTTTTATATCTTTTTATAAATGTTAAACATCATGTACCCATAAATTTATTAGGATATTTTATGGTCCCACATTTCTCTATTTAGATTTTCATTAAAGTAAAATATGCACCCATGCTGTACCAATTAGCATGGTTCCACATATATTTATAGTAAAATAATTAATTTTAAGCATCCATGACATATTGATCATGGCACCACTTTTAAAAACAAATAAAACTTTATATATGCACCCATGCTGTACCAATAAGTTAAGCATTGTTCCACATATATTTATAGTTAAATACTTATTAATTATTAAGCATCCATGACATATTGATCATGACACCGCTTTTAAAAACAAACATAGCTTAGTATATGCACCCATACTTAATCAATAGGATAAGCATGGTTCCACATAATTATATTTAAAAGTAAAATAATTATTAAGCATCCATGATATATTGATCATGACACCGCTTTTAAAAACAAATATAACCTGATATATGCACCCATGTAGTATAACATGGTCCCACATACATATTTTTATCCATGATACTAAAAATATCATGATACCGATTTTGTCTAACGTAACTTTGAATGCACCATTCCTAAATGGATCTAGGATAGTACCACAAATAAGAATTATAAAGCATTAAGTACTCTTTTTCAAATTCTCGCTCATTTAGTTACTTATACTCTATGTACTCATTACATGAATCTACATGTATACACAGATATGACAAAAATCCTGCCTGAAGGCAGTTCATATACAATACTATCTTTCAAAAAGTCAATATATGAATCTGGGAATATATAAAACATATATATACAATATATACAACATTCTTTAAAGATAAGTGGTAAAGATAAATTAATAAACATTATACGGTTTTCTATTTTTTACAAAATATAAAAGCATTTAACAAAAATCAACAAACAAAAAATAAAAGGACAAAAATATACATCAACAAATAAAAGCCCATTCAATCACTAAATCAATGCCAATACTAACGTCTTGCAACTATTCATATGTATGATACAACAACTGGTGTACAACATTAGGCCTTTTAAAAATACTTTTTTCTTGTTTGTTTTGTTATTGTTTTTTTTTTTTTTTTTGGTAATATTTTTCCTATTTTCTTATATACATACTCATTAATATAAATCAACAAATTAACTGATAAAACCCCATTTATCCCATGATATACGCGTTTGTATAAATTAATGACACAATGATTGTTTTTGGGTTTTTTCTGGTACTTTTTTCCCCCAATTTTTTATACAATGAAGAATAATTAATAAGATTTACAACATACATGTCTGAATCTAAAAAAATAAATGGATACAAAGCAAACCAAAACAATTGAGTTTGGTATTTACATTGGCATAAAAATCAATTAATTTCAAGCAAAGAACATGTGGATATTTCAGAATCATAAAATGAAGTATGTTTTTATAATTAAAAATACGACATGCGAAAGCAATCTTACTCGGTCCATGCCAATGCACCCTCCTGCTAGACATAGAAGTTTGCTTAAGATTGCGAATGCACTAAATGATATTTACGCAATGGTATGTCTATCATTTGTGAAATACAAATGAAAATATTTACATTTATTTATTTAGAGTAGAACTCTGGTTACAGCAAACATTATGTCTTCATACAAAAGGATCTATCACGGATTTATATAAATCCGTGGATGTATTTTAACACTAACTTTATTTTATATACTTTCACACTTACACGTATTTAAAGCATACCAAACTGCATTTTAACAACATTTCAAAAATATACAGTATATACAAATACATTGTTTATAACATAGTTTGTCCTATATAATACTGCTTATATAATAACTGTTTTTACATGTCTTAAATACCTTTAATTAACTGAATTATATTAAACTGTCACCATTAACCAAAATAACAGTGTATAAGTTTTAATCGATGAATTATGCTGTACAATGCAAAAAGAGCAAAAAACAATAACTATTTACATAGTACTTTCTTAGACAGCAAAAAGCATAATGTGTTTATTGGCGAAACACACTATCCAATAGGTAAAATAAGACTAATCTTAACTAACGAAGAACAAAAGAATAACAACGTCAAAAAGTGATTATCAGCACTGACAAATTGATATAGTCTGCGTTAAAACAAAACAGATAAATTTGTTTATGTTATCCTCATTTTATAATGATCTTAAGTTATAATCATCCAAATAATCATGAATATGCAAAATTGTTTTTATCCAAAGCTTAATTGTATTTATTATATTATACAACAAGTAGAGAAAAGATGAATAAAGCAAAATCTTCAGTACGTACTACAGAAAATACTATGTACGTTAAAGCACCGATTACATTTTTAATTATGAATAATATAGACAGTGTTTATTTAATAAATAATATACAATTTATCTATAATTTTATTATGCAAACTACTTAAAACAAAAAGTAATACAAAATTTCAGTTTATTTACACGCGTTAGCATGCTTTAGTTAATGATACACATTGATAAGGGTTGATAAATCGGGGAATATTTTACAAACTAAGAAGTTTAATGATCATCAAAAGTATGTCTTTACTGAACATTGTACGATCCACTTGATATTTTTAGAGACGTGTTAATTATACTCGACTTAAATACTCGATAACAACGAAAGGGAAGATTACGCGTAAGAAATATACAAAAACAATTTACAATGTACATTCGAATTACATATTAACAAAAAAAGTTAAATTGGGTAAAACATATTTAATGACAAGCAAGCCGATAAAGCCAGAAGTTTAGACCACCCTTCTCATTTGAGAACGTATGTACACACATGTAGATCTGCATGTACAAATAACTATCAAAAGTATGAAAGTAATTCTGTTGAACACAAAAATGCACATCTATAACGACCAGCACGATATGTCATAAAATTTCTGGACAACAACCACAGCAAGAAACAAAACGATATATACAAAATATTTTGATGGTCATAGATACGAAAATGCAATATTAAAAACAAAAAACAAAAAACAAACAATATGCAAATCAAACATACAGAGTTTACTGAAATATATATTCAATCTTCGCAAAAGCAAAACACTAATGGTACATGCAATATATATATTGCAAATAAATTTTACACAAACAAAGAAAATATTAATTTACAAAGTATTTTCATAGATAATATTTACACTTATCATTTTGTTACTTTCAACTTTCCAAGACACATCATATGCACTTCAGCATAATTATCAATATTACTTAAATATAAGTCCAGTTGTTCATTAGGAACATCCCGAAACATAAGAATGGTGATTGCACACAAGACATGAATATGTTTTAGATGTCAGTTACTAAATGTTTCTTGTATGCCTACAAGAAGGATAATGAGCTTGTCGCAGACATTTTCAAATAAGAAAATAAAAAATAAAGAATTCTACAAACACAGCTGCAGTGTTTATAAAATATTGTGCTATACTATGATCAAAAGGATACAAGTGATATAAATCAATGATCATCACTGCAAACTCCAAATTAAACAATGATAAGGGAAGCACAATAATTATAAACTAAAACATGTCATATATTCTGCGATATGCAAATTTTAAGTGAAAATTGCCTGAAAACGCGTTTACATCATATCAAACTTGAATCAGCACTTTCCCCTATAATACATGTTTATATACACAATAAATTTATACAAGACATGAACATGATTTAGAACAAAATCAAAACAAAAATGATTCATCAGTATACGTGAACTATTCTACTTTGTTTGGGTCACACTAACACCATTACTTTATCAATATATTATAGCAACATGTTACATGTTTGCATTTGGAGAAATCCCTTTTAGCAATAATGCTCAAAAGACATAAACTCAAACTGATGCTGAAACAGTTTAACATAAGATACATACCGGTATATTTACTAGCATAAAACATAGCTTGTCTAACTAATAAGTAAACATTCTGTATCTCTTTAATTCAAAGTAGGACAAAATTTATATATATTTCAACATTACATTAAAAAGTATCAGGAACCTTAGTCAAAACAAAAACATATTTATTTACAACAAAATGAAGTAAAGATGATAAAAACTTATTTATGTATCAATAAAACATTAATAGTCCATTACATTACAGTATAGATTATTACAGGGTGAATATAAACAATAATATGAAATATAAACACATTTAATTTAAGTCACAAGTCATCTTAATATGTCAAAACACAAAAAGATATTACAACATTAAAAGTATATATGGCAATGTAAACAATTATACTATTGAAAGTTTTAAGATAATCTTTTTATTTGAAAGAAAGAATGAATTTCTCCTTTTTATTGTCAATTTGTAAGAATAGTCAGATCACTGTTATACAAACAAAACAATTGGACATCACACCACATCACATCTTGGTAAAGTACTGTGGTTAGACTATCTATAGTGTTGACGACTTCTACACAGTCCTAAAATCAGAAAAATGTGGTACAATTATGGACATAGCTCATGACAACTCCACTGCTTTCACCGGAGATGCATTTGCTAGAAAAACTTATAGTGGTTTAGGAGAAGTTTTAACAGAAATCAACTAAATACAACCGACACATTGCCATCGCCAAATGTCATCTTTAAGATAACAAGAGCCACTATTACGCGAGACCATTTTTGGCTTATTCTTAACTTTAAATTAAAGTCAAACACATCAGTGGAAGTATATTGTAGTAGAGTGCTTCAAGAAACATCGTTTTCTGGTACAAAATATAATCAAATTTCATATTCAACCTAGACAAAGTCATTTAAAATAATAATAATAAATAAAAAAAAATAATAAATGTAAACTTTTTTACAAGACAACGCTCCACTTTTTTTAAATTTTCTAAACGCAAACAAATAAATGATTTAAACAAACCTTTAAAAAGCAAAAGAAAAAAATGAAGGTTTCCTTTTTAATAGGTCTGTCTAGTCACACTTTATGTTTTGTCCAAATTGAATCATTTCCATATATAAATGACAAAAGTTAAGAAGGTATAAGCAAACTTCAACCATCTGACCTTGTCGGTCAATGTAATTTAAAGGTCAATGTCATATCTAAGTTATTCATCATGTCCGTTTGGTCATAGTGAGCTGTAGTGCTGTTTATCAAATCCGTTCATAAATAACAAAATGATGACAATCGAAATTGTATAATCTAACATTGACGGTCAAGGTCATTTAAAGCTCAAGGTCAAGGTCAGTTCAACCTTTAGAAGGTTAAAGTTTAATGTTAAAGTTTGTCTTCGGCAACACCGACATGACTGTTAATATACCTCTTAGAAAGTCGAGCTAAAAAAAACAGCAACAAAACAAAACATGTTGATAGTATTCTTAGTAATTTAGTATAAATATTGATATAATGAATAATAATATTTTGTTCTAAAACCAATTTATTATCTGCTATTTTGATATGTCACATCGGACTATACTACACTTGCCAACAACATCTAATACTTATAACATTGTTTGATGTCACGAATGTTACTGAATACTATCAACACAATGGACCGATTCACTTCAAGAAATGATAATTATATAAATCTAGGTTTTTTAAGTGACCACGCTCTGGCAAAACCATTATTCACTAAAATGAAATGACTTTCAATTATTGTTCGAGGTCTATATATACATGTCAAATATCCATAAAGGTATAATTGTAGACAGTAAGACTGTGGTGTGTTTTTCTATAAAATAGAAATGGAAATGTGTCCATAGGACACGGGTGCCCCCACACTCCACTGATTTGTCAATCTTATGTCTCTAGGTCAAATATTTATTTTGGCTACATGTGCCCAAGTTTAAAACTAAAAATCGTTTATTAAGTAAAGGGCAAAAACTACAAATACTGAATAAATCCACAAGCAAATCCCAAGGTGCATAAGTACATATGCTGACCAACATTCTTATAAACTTTCTGGCCTACAGGTCAAATACTTTTGAGCTATGCATGAACAAGTTGAAAATTGCAAATTTATCCTTAGGACAATAACTTTCACAAGACAGAATAAAGTCACAAGCAAAACCCCATGTGCACTACTTCCCATGCTGATTAGCATTCCTGTAAAGTTTCACGACCCTAGGTCAAATACTTTTAAACTATGTGTGACACAAAATTGAAATTGCAAATTTTTACTAAATCAAGGACAATAACTCTACAAATATTACATACTAGTAAATTCACACAAAAATAAGCACATGAGCCATAAGCATCACAAGTTGATAATTGCAAATGTTTACTGAGTAAAGGGCTATATATAACTCAGACAAACAGAATAAAACCCTAGGTGCACAACATCACATGCTGACCAACATTCCTGTCTAGGTCAAATACTTTTTGAGTTATGTGCATCACAAGTTGAAAATTGCAAATTGTTACTAAATCAAGAGCAATAACTCTAAAAATACTTATAATATCCACATGATTCAGAAAATACCCAGGTGCACAACTACAAATGCCGATCAACATTCCTGTAAGGTTTTGTGACTCTAGGTCAAATATTTTTTGAGTTACGTGCAACACAAGTTGAAAATTGCAAATTTTTACTAATTCAAGGGCAATATCTTATACCCATATAAAAATACCCAGGTGCAAAACTACACATGATGATCAAAATTCCTGTAAGGTTTCATGACTCCAGATCAATTACTTTTTGAGCTACGTGCGACACAAAAAGAGAACGGACGGACAGACGGATGGACGGACATGCCACTTAAATGGACTAAAGGGCCATTTCTTTTGTTATTTTCTTTTGTTAAATAGAGGGCCATGGCCCCTTATTTTATTGTAACGGAATGACCTCTATTGTTCTCTTTTGTTTTGTTTACAGTTAGATGGCCCCCTACTTCTCTTAAATAGCCCGGACGGACGTACAAGGGTAAATCTAAATGCCCCCACCCCTATAGTGGGGGCACAATAAAATCTATGTAAACAAGAAATGTCGAACGACACATACGCCCCCCTTTCTAGCCTTTGCCTCACATTATTGGTTATTTTTGTTAAAGAAACTTGCCATAAACTGGAACATTGAAGTATAAACTTATGGAAAAAAGAAAAATAATAATTACTTTGTGATAAATAGTTTTCAAGATAATGAGACATTTAAGGCTCCTGTGACATTGACCTTTGACCTAGTGACCACAATAGGGGTCACTAACAAGTTATGACTAATCAATATGACAAATATGAAGACTTTGTGATGAATAGTTTTCAAGATAATAAGCGGAAACTATTCTGACATTTAAGGCCCCTGTAATCTAGTGACTCCAAAAGCAATACGGATCATCTGTTGGTTATGACCAATCACTATGTGATGTTTGAAGACTTTGTGCTAATTATCTTTCAAGATGCCCCTGTGACATTGACCTTAAAACTATTGACCCCAAAACCAATAGGGGTCATCTACTAGTTATTACCAATCACTATGTAAAGTATGACAACTTTGTAATGAATACTTTTCAAGATAATCAGCGGAAACCATTATGACAATTAAGGCCCCTGTGACCTGGACCTTTGACCGAGTGACCCCAAAATCAATAGGGGTCATCTACTAGTTATGATCAATCACAATGTGACATATGAAGACTTTTTGATAAATAGTTTTCAAGTTAATAAGCGGAAATAATATTGTCTACCAACAGACAGACAGACAGACAGGCGGACCGACAGACAGACCGTCATTAGCAAAACAATATACCCCCCTCTTCTTCGAAGGGGGGCATAACTAAATAACCGTCGAAGCGGGGATAAATTCAATCTCATGAAGTCAACAGATGCATTATGCACATCGTCTGATTATTGTTAATATTGCAGCCATATATTATTAATTTCCTGCAATCTGCTCAAGAAATACTCTGAGAGGATATGAAACATTGAAATCTATGCACAATGACTAACTGTGACCTTGACCTAACCAGTACATCGTCCGTCTAATTAATATTTATATTTTTACCAAGTAGATTAAATTTCCTTCATTCGATAAGAAAACTTTGTAGACATGAAATTGCTAATAGATAGACAAGTGACTAGTTGCATTATATGCATGCATGATAAAAAAAAATCTTGCATATAAAACCAATAACCAATGTCAGATTTAAACATTCAAATACTGAAAATTGATATGCATGCATTACACTTAAAACATTTCCTTTCTTTCCCAAAATACTCGTGTTAAAACAAATTTCACTGTTTAAGATGTTTTCAAACTTACCATATTATTTACAAACAAGTATTAAAACTTGCGATACTTCACTGCCTTTCGTTTCTTCTCTGTTGCTTTTACAGCTGGACTTGCTCTGTTTGTCTTAAAGCTTGTGGCGAATGCCGTCAGTTTTATATCTTCTTGGCGACGTTTCTATTCAAAAAGAAATAATCGAAGCATAGAAGAACATAACCGTATATCTATTTTGATGCATTTCTGCATCATTTCTGCATATTAGAACAAACTACTGAACAGAAATTATGAAGCAAGACAGCTTTCTAAGATGCTGGGACACATAAACAACAGCGCCAAGATGGCCCTAGATCGCTCACCTGACCCATCATTTTATTGTAGTTCCAGCGATATCAAAAATATCAGAAGTACGACAGATAATATCAAAATTTCAACTTGGCATAAAAAATTACACCCTTTTGCCGTATTTACATGTCTGTATATCAAAAAGCAAGAAAATAGATCAAATGACATCAATAATAATCAAAAGATGGTCATATGATATCAAAATTCAATTTTGCATCAGAAATTACACCCATGGTCCAAATTTTAAGTCTGTATGTCAAAAAATATAAAACTAAGTAAAGTTATATCAAAACATCAAAAGTAGGTCGATCAGCCAATATCATTTTTTTTTATTCTGCATCAGAAATTAAACCCCTGGTCAAAATGTCAACTCTGTACTTTAAAAAATGTGAATCTATGTCAAACGATATCAGTTAGATCGAAAGTGAGTCAGTTTGATGACAATTGAGTAAAACAATGTTACCACTCGAGTGTTTAGAAGGTTTTGCCATATTTGGGTGATGTGACCTAGTCTTTGAAACCATTTGACCAATAAAGGAACTTAACCTAATAATCATCAAATTTCAAGATTATTTTGATCTAAACAGTAGCCACTAGAGTGTTAACAAGATTTTTTATTTTTAGCTCACGTGCCGAGATGACCCATGTCCAAACTTATCCATGCAATTACCTAGTCAAGAATCCTGACAAAGTTTGATGACAATTGCTCCAAAAATGTGATAACTAGAGTGTAAACAAGATTTTCCCCATTTAGGCAGTGTGATCTAGTTTTTGACCCCAGGTGACCTATATTTTAACTTTACCTAGAATTCATCAAAAGAAACTGTCAGACCAATTTCCATGATATTTGGATCAAAACAAACTGTGGCCACTAGAGTGTAAAAATGATTTTTCTATTTTTAGCTCCTGTAACCTATTTTTTTATTCGTGATGATCCCTATTCGAACTTATCCGAGCAATTACCTCGACAAGCATTCTGACAAACAAGAGGGCCATGATGGCCCTGAGGTCACTCACCTGTATATAGCCCCCTCCCGGCCCAATTTTTACCCAAGGGCTTTTATTTGTTTATTTGAACAGACTTGGTAGACACCCATAAGAAGATGTTTCATGCAAAACATCTAAGTTCTAGCTCATTGGGTTTTTTAAAAGAAGATTTTTTAAGTTTTTACTATACACATATAGTTAAAAACAATGACACCCCTCGGGCAGGGCCAGTTTTGACCCCCGGGCTTTTATTTGAACAAACTTTGTAGATATTTACTTAAAGATGTTTCATGCTTAATATCTAAACTCTAGCTATTTGGGGTTTTTCAAAGAAGATTTTTAAGTTTTTGCTATACACATATAAGGAAAATCAATGACCCCCGGGGCGGGGCCAGTTTTGACCCCAGGGCTTTTATTTGAACATACTTGGTAGACACCCATTAGAACATGTCTCATGCTAAATATCTTAGCTCTAGCTCTTTTGGTTCTTTAAAAGAAGATTTTTTAAGTTTTTACTATATGCATATAGGGAAAATCAATGACCCCCTGGGGCGGGGCCAATTTTGACCCCAGGGCTTTTATTTGAACAAACTTGGTAGACATTCACTAGAAGATGTTTCATGCCAAATATCTAAGCTCTAGCTCTTACGGTTCTTTAAAAGATGATTTTTAAAGATTTTACTATATGCATATAGGGAAAATCAATGACCCCCCGGGGCGGGGCCAATTTTGACCCCAGGGCTTTTATTTGAACAAACTTGGTAGACATTCACTAGATGTTTCATGCCAAATATCTTAGCTCTAGCTCTTTGGGTTCTTTAAAAGAAGATTTTTTTAAGTTTTTACTTTATGCATATAGGAAAAATCAATGACCCCCTGGGGCGGGGCCAATTTTGACCCCAGGGCTTTTATTTGAACAAACTAGGTAGACATTTACTAGAAGATGTTTTATGCCAAATATCTTAGCTCTAGCTCTTTGGGTTCTTTAAAAGAAGATTTTTTAAGTTTTTACTATATGCATATAGGGAAAATCAATGACCCCCCCGGGGCGGGGCCAATTTTGACCCCAGGGCTTTTATTTGAACAAACTTGGTAGACACTCACTAGAAGATGTTCCATGCCAAATATCTTAGCTCTAGCTCTTACGGTTCTTTAAAAGAAGACTTTTTAAGCTTTTACTATATGCATATAGGGAAAATCAATGACCCCCCGGGGCGGGGCCAATTTTGACCCCAGGGCTTTTATTTGAACAAACTTGGTAGACACTCATTAGAAGATGTTTCATGCCAAATATCTAAGCTCTAGCTCTTAGGGTTGTTTAAAATAAGATATTTAAAGATTTTTCTTTCGGTTGCCATGGCAACCAGAGTTCTGCATAAAATTAAATTCTTTGAACAATTTTTAAAGGTGACCACCAAAGGAACATTCCTGTGAAGTTTGGATGAAATTGGCTCAGTGGTTTATGAGATGTCATTTAAAGCAAAAGTTTACGGATGGACGACGGACGGACGGACGGACGCCGGACGAAAAGCGATCACAAAAGCTCACCCTGTCACTTTGTGACAGGTGAGCTAAAAATTGGTGATGACTGAAGCAAAACATGCGACCACTAGACTGTTAAATTTAAGACCACAAGACTGTTAAATTTAAGAACAAACGTGGATGACGACGGTCATTCAACGATCCTCAAAGCTCACCCTGACTTAATACACTCGTTACTAAATATAGTAACACAAGAACCGGTTAAACCGAGTGATGCTCCTCGAATAGGTTTTGGACACAGGGAAGTGTACCGCTTGTAGTTCCAGAGTTATGTCACAGACAATTTAAGTTCTGAAGGTGTAAAAGTGAACAAAGGACACTGACTCATTGAATAAGATCAATCTACCAACAAAGTTTCATGTTGCACCTCTTATGGTTATGTCCCGGACAAAAATCAAAGGGGCAATAACTCCAAAATCAGACAAGGTAAAGTTATAGTTCTTTTGCACTGCACTTCTACCCAATGACCCAATAAAATACATTTACCTACAAAGTTTTATGTTCATATCTCTTATAGTTTAAGAGTTATGTCCAGGACAAAGTTCAAAGTGTAAAAAATTGACAAAAGGCAATAACTCCAAAAATAAACAAGACATAGTTATGATTCTTTTGCACTGCACTTCTACTCAATGAAATCTATCTACCTACAAAGTTTCATGCTGTTATCTCTATAATTTTAGAGTAATGTCTCAGACAACGTTCAAAGTGTAAAAAGGGACAAAGGGCAATAACTCTAAAATTAGACAAGACAGAGTCATGGTTCTTTCGCACTGCACTTCTTCTAAACGAGATCTCTCTACCTACAAAGTTTCATGTTGATATCTCCTATAATTTTAGTGTTTAATATTTCCTGGACAAAGTTCAAAGTGTAAAAATGAACGAAGGGCAATAACTCCAAAATAAGACAAGACAGAGTTATGGTTCTCTTGCACTGCACTTTTACTTAATGAGATCTATCTACCTAAAAAGTTTCATATTGATATCTCTTAAAGTTTTAGAGTAATGTCCCAGACAAAGTTCAAAGTGTAAAATTGAACAAAGGGCAATAACTCAGTGTGATCTGCCTACCTACAAAGTTTCATGTTGATATCTAAGTTATGTCCTGGAAAAGGAAAGCGGACGGACGCACGGACAAAGCTGCGACGATATGAGCATAACAATTGCCTATGATTTCAGCTGATGATGAGTGTCACGTGACTGTTTATGAGTTTGTGGCCCGGGCCAAAAAACATAATCATAATCGGTCTGCTGAACAAGAGTAAGTGCAAAACTGACGTCATATTTTACGTCACAAAAACAGCTAGCTTTAAAAAGAGAAAGTATGTTTTAAGCAGGAACCCTTGATTTTATGAGAACTTAAGCGTAATTTCTACAAAATTGTAGTGAAATTGAAAAAAATACATTTTTATACAATTATATTCTGCAAAAATAAATCGTGCTTCTTGATTTTGGTGGACTTTGTATACACATAACGGAAGTAAATCTGTAGAAGTTGCTATACAGAGGCTGGTATTTCAACAAAAGAAATATTAATGTATTTTAACTACTAATGTATCGTAACGCCACGAATGCCCCCGCACGAATGCAGCCAAAATTTCAAATGTTATATTAAATTCCAAATTTGTTTACACAAACCATTTTTTTATTCTAAGTTTACAGCCATTAAACTATTAAGTGGTAAACTTTTGCGAATCGCATATTTAAAGCCAAGATAATGATTGTGATTTTTGAATCTTTTCAAGGAGAATAACTGTCAAAAAAAAAAAACATCTGACCAAATAAGAACTTGACTTGTATTTTCTGTTGGTAAAAAAACAGTATATGCAATGTCAACCTTGGACTTACATTTATAGAAAATTCAGAGAAGAAATTGATAATTTTAATTAAGTTCAAACAACATAACTCTGTAAAAAATCATCCGACCAAAACAAAATTTGAACTTGAGTCATGAACAGGCTCAATCAAACCGAGCCTTCAACATTTTCTATTTTGCCGCGTTGGGCTTTCTTTAGGGATTCTTATTTCACTCTATTTTATCGCCACATCAGCGTTGTTTGTGTGGTGTGGAGGCTGTAAAAAGTCGCCCCGTCCATTCAATCAGGGATGTTATATTTCCGATCTTTAAAGATCGTTCAGCACATTATTGTTGTGCTTGTGGTATTTTAGTTCTTTCTATTCGGCTTTTTTCTTGTTGGGTGGTTCCAGTATTCCTAACTTGAATACTGTTGAATCACCCTTAGGATATGAGGTCTGCCTTTTGACGTTATATCTGTGATATGCAGGCTTCAAAACCTCGGATCCCCCTT